CCCCCTCCGTTCAACTTGATTGCTCCTACCTATTTTCAGCACTTGGGATTGGTCGTAGCTTTTTTACCCTGGGGTCCACTTGTAGCCATCTCGGTTGCCTTCTTCGACTTGGCCTGCACGTCACGTCGCGTAGCATCTGTGCGACCGGCTGTGTTCCGCTTTGGGGATCAATTCTGTTTTCTAAACCAAATGTATCCAGTAGTATGTTCCACTGTGGTGCCGCTGGTTCTTGATCTCTTTGAGTTTTGCTGTGCCGCTGTCGTAGATGATTGATATGTCTGGTCCACTTATCCTTTCCGACCGTTATCTCATAAATAACTTTACCCCTCTTTCCACTAACCGTTCCGCTAACCCATCTTTCCGGGGTCTGAAAGTTTCGTGCATACACCAAGTTGCCAATCTTGAACGTGCGAAGCCTGTTATCCTGCTCCCTTCTCGGTTGTCCATTACGTTTGTCAACATTTCTTGGAATCAGGCTATCAAATGTCGTTCTAACTTTTCGTCCAAATATACATTCAGAAGGAGATTTACCCTCCGGTGTGTTTGGATTCGGAGTGTTTCGATACATTCTCAAAAACGGCTGAATTGCATCTCGTGACACCCTCATTCCTTCCGCTTTGAGAAGAGCACGTTTAAAGGTATCTACAAACCGTTCGGCTTGCCCATTCGATTGTGGATGGTACGGCGGCGAAAACTTGTGCTGGATTCCGTTTTGCCTGCAAAATTCTCTGAACAGCGTTGAGGTGAACTGAGCTCCATTGTCTGTAACCAGCATCTCCGGGGTGCCAAAATACTGGATCAGTTTGTTCAGCTCATTGATAGTGTGCTGGGCGGTAGGATTTTGCATCGGAATCACGTCGGGCCATTTTGTGTAGGAATCAACAAAAATCAAATAAGCTTGACCGTTGATTGGTCCCGCGTAATCCAAGTGGATTCTCTGTCAGGGCTTTTCCGACTCGGGTCAAGGGTGCCACGAACATCTCGGAGATGCCTTTGCCGCTTGTTGACAAGATTCACAACTTTGGCAGAACTGCTCGGTTTCTGCATCCATTTGAGGCCAATACACAAAACTTCGCGCCAGTGCCTTCTTTCGGCTGGTTCCCGGATGTCCTGAATGAAACTGCTGTAGTATTTGCTTCCGCAACTTCCTTGGTACCACGACTCGGTCTCCAAACATTAGACAATTGTCGACGACCGAAAGGGATCCGCGTCGATTAAAGAAAGTTTGTAACTCGTTCGAATTTTTGACATTAGACCAACTGGACTGCACAAACCCTATCACTTTCAGCAAGATATCGTCTCGAGCCGTCTCTGCACGAATCGTGTCCGACGTTACTGGCAACTCCCTTACACTGTCAATCAGGATGCGCTGAACTTCCGACTCGAATTTGACAGATGCAATCACGCAGTCATCGTTTTCCTTCAAGTGGGAACCGAGGAGGCGAGATAGAGCGTCAGCTTGGCCGAGTTGTTGTGTAGATCGATATTGTATACTGAAATCGTAAGCCAGCAGTACGGTTGCCCATCTCTGTAAGCGACTTGCTGTGAAAACAGGAATACTTTTCTTTGATCCAAATATCGAGAGTAGAGGTTTGTGGTCCGTGATCAGTTTGAAATGTCTACCATATAGCATTTTATGAAACCGTTTCACTGCGAAAACAATCGCCGGCGCTTCCTTCTCAATCTGGCTGTAATTTTTCTCCGCCACTGTCAGCGACCGTGCTGCGTGCGCAATGGCCTTCTCTTCTCCTCCAGAGAACACATGAGAAATGACAGCACCTACCCCATAATTGGAGGCGTCCGAAGCAACGACAATCTCCAAGTTTGGGTTGAAGTGGGTCAAAAGTAAATCAGAACTGAGCGCTGTTTTATCTGTATCAAAGTATTGTTGGCACACCTTTGTCCATCGCTATTCTTTCCTTTTCATCAGCTAGTTGTTCAGAAGACCTCTAGTCTGATGTAGACTTGGCAGGAAGGCAATATAATGAGTTATAAGACCGAGAAATGAACGAAGTTCGGCAACATCCCTTGGTGGTGACATTTGCTTGACGGCTTCTATATTAGCGGGATCCGGACGTCTGCCATGTTTGTCAATGATGAACCCGAGGAATTTGACACTTTCCATCAGGAAATTGCATTTTTCCGCTTGTAACCGGAAACCAGCTTCTTCTAGACGAATGAGCACTTTCTCTAACGTGGCCAGCAATGCTTGTGGGTCAGACCCCATAATCAATGCGTCATCCAGGTATATTGCGACCCCAAGGATATCGTTCAGCAGCGTATCCATGATTTGTTGAAAAATGGCGAGAGCAATTTTCACTCCAAATGGCAACCGATTTTACTGGAAAAGACCGTCAGTAGTGTTCTGCAGTTCTCGGCTACTGGAACTTGTAAGTAAGCATCAGCTAGATCGAGTTTTGCAAACCATTTTCCATCATTAAACTTGATAAAGAAATCTTGAAGTATAGACAAAGGATACTGGTGGTTCTCCAACATAGAATTTAAGCCGGTTGAGAAGTCAGCACAAACACGTACCTTGCTGTTTCCTTTCTTTATCACAACGATGGGTGCCGCCCATTCGGAGTAATGTACGCGCTCGACTATGCCTTCCCCCTTCAACGTCTCTATTAGTCGTCTATCTATAGGTGACTAGCGATGAACCTAAGTAGATCCCATTACCATAAGTTACTGGTGGCGTGACTCCATCCTTGCTTGTTGCTCTAACTGGAGCACTTTCGTCGATTCTGATCATGCCTTGGTACGCTGTCCTTTTTCCGCGAACTTTACCTTGAGGAGTACCAAGCGTCTCCCTCGATTGGTACTTGAAATCATCTCAGCCCTCGGTCGGGCAAGCCTACCAAGATGCCCTGCGTATCGAAATTTCGCTCTCCTGTCCTAATGACACAGAGCCTCAATGGAATAGGATCTCGGCCGCCATGCACGATGCAGTAGCCTCCACTTGCGGCACTATCAATCGCTACCGCATCAGTCACTGCAAATCCGAGTGGTCAGTAAACCTTTTGAATCCCGAAGAAACCTCCCGGCTGGCTCTGAGCGCAATGTAACTAGGCAGACTATTGGGGGCGAATTATATCGGAGCCAGCGTGCTGACAAGAAAGCCTGGGGGACTAATAGGGCTCAAGAAATGGATGAAACAGGAGCAGTAGATAATTATCACAAGCTGTTCTAGTTGATCCGCACCACTTTTCTCAAGAAAATCAGGCTTCAGTGAGACAATCAGAGACAGCATGTGTGCCCTGATTCACAATACGGAGCACCGTATGCCTCGTTAGGCGGAGCACTTTCTGGATCATTTCAGTAGGCCCCCTGATTCTGGACCTATTCGTACTCAGGTGTTGCAGACTGAGCTATGGCCGTTTAGTTTAAGGACTCAATCAGAAGTTGAGGTCCGAAACGCGATTTCAGCCCCCAATCCTTCTCGTGCTGATGGCCCGGATTATTTCCCACCTGCACGACTTAAGGATGGTGTGTTCTACGAAGCACTGACTTCCCTGTTCAAACATGTCTGGAAGGAAAAGACCGCAGCTGATTGTTGTGGATCGAATATAGTGGCGATATACAAGTAGGGTAGCCGCACCGGCTAATCACAGGGGTATTAACCTAACACAGATGGTGTCAAAATTATTGGCTTCAATTTTCGTTCGTCGCCTCACTGCGGAATGAGAATCCCGAATTAGGGAAGAGCAAGCAAGCTTCCGCCCAGGACGGAGCTGTATAGACCACATATTCACTCGGTGGCATATGCTAAAACAGCGCTACGCATAGCGCACACCGACTGTAGTTGTGTTCCTGGACTTCAAGAGTGCATTCAATTCGATGGATGCATTATGTTCGAAATACTTGTGCGGAAAAGTGTTCCCATGAAATGCGTGGACATTTTACGTGCCGACTCGGTTGATGAAACGTGGCTCTCATCCACGTGCCTCCCGGTCTTATTGCCTCGGGTTTACACTGCATATGGAGTGTGTGAGTGATGCAACGCAAACCATCTATGTTCCTTCTGTTGGCGCAGGCGTCCTGTGGCCTTCCCCATGCATGACACAATGGCAGGCAAATTCGGATTCGTATATATGGTATGGCGGCATCCGTATCCGTATTTGCCTGTCACTGTGGCCTCCATGGGGACAGCCACAGGACGCGACTTACATGACAACAAACTTGTGCCCATGCGGTCCTCCGTGGGTCCTACATTTTCCATGTATGGTTTAGGCTTTTTGGTTTTTGACTTATATGTGTTAATGTTTCTTGGACCCCGAAGCAATGAGAGCTGCAAGGGAGCTATCTCGTCCGTGCTGCTTTATCTTGTCACTATAACCTGCTGTTTTTCATCGTGGGTCGGACGGTGCCCGCAAGGACTCGGTGCGTGCTTTGTAACCCGGAGGTCACGGGTTCGAATCCGCGTTGGGGCGGGCGATCTTGCGGTATACCCAGTCCACACACTCGACTGGTCATGCTCATGTGGCAGCGAAGAGTCGATACCGTGTGTCCGCGTGCTTCTCGTAACTCTGACAGTGCGAGGGTTGTTAGCAAAGCGTTCGTGCCTTGTTCTTTAAACATTTATGTTCTCCGTTCTCAATTCTTATTCTTCATTAATGAGGCTGTTGCGATTGTTTAGCCTTTAGGCATCAGTACAAAGTGTTTGCACACTGTCGTCGTTGATGCTGCAGCTGCAGCTACTACTGCCACTGCCGCCTCTGTTGAGTACTGTGATGGTGTCATCTACTCTATTTTTGTTCTCAATTCGTTAATTTGAACTTGCACCTGGATCACCCTTCGGATTACCCGTTTCGATTTCGTCGCACTGCACTTCATAAACTTAGTAAAATGCTTGTCTTCAAACGTATCCCTTATTTGCATGCAACCCTTAGTTTTGTGGTATAGTTTTTCCATGCTACCAAAATGGAAACATCCGACAATTTCGCGGTTTTGAGTCGTCTGTTTGTTATGCACTGTGTACATAATTCTTTTTACATTATTTCAGGGTCAATTATAAAGAACTCGGTCACATTTCCGCTCAATGGGATTCGACTTTTGAGGGCATCCTGCTGTGCAAGCAAAAGGTAGATTCACGACGGAAACGTGGTGTTGGTTTGTTGATTTTATTTTTCTCCTCCCCAACTGTTTGATTTGTATGTAGTATTTTCGGAGCATTGGTGCCGTCTGAAAGGGAACATTCTGGTGCTTTGTAAAACTCCGGATAGGAGGAGCACAGAACTTGAGGGTGTCATCTTTCTTGAACGCTTCACCATATCCCATGTTTCTGAAGCGGGTATTTCACATGCATTCCGTATTGGTTCGTGTGTGTTGTCACCAATTATTCCTTTTTTAGATTTTGATGCTGGGGATTCATCTCTGGTGTTCGTTGCTAGATCAGAGACAGAGGCAAACCTCTGGTGCGGGCACTTGAAGGCGGCACCATTAACTCCAATATTGCAGCGTATTTGCTTGATCCAGAGTGAATTGCGCAGTGTCCCAGATAACGATCCCCTGGACTTGGGCCAGTCGGCGCTGGAATTCACTAGTCAATCGCTAGATGACGAAGGTATGTCAGTCTTTTGGAATGCTGCAGCTTGTCTTTATTTCTGTCTCTATCATCCCCTGTGTTTGTTTTTAGTGCTCGGGACCGCGGATACTAGTGGCATTGAACTTAGTTTGGGTAAGTTGTGCTTTTGCTAATTTGTTACTAGCCTTAACAATCCGTTTTGGATTCCTTATGTATGACTTTTAGTTCTCCGTGGCATTAGCGGGTTGGGCGGTCGTTTAGACGGGCTATTCAAGGGTTCGTGTGTTAATTCTGAGCTGTCGATGTTTATCAGCCTAGCGGCTTGGTTGTTTGACCAAGGAATATAGATCCCATTACCTACCTTTAACTCAATTCAATCCAATTCAAAAGAGAGCTGTGTGCATCCGGAAGGATGAGTTCCAGCCATTACACACACGCCTTAAGCATTTTAAAAGGAATAAAACTTAAAACTATGCATACACAAGTTGATTAATAATTGACATCGATAGCAATATGGTTACAACTCAAACTTGCTTGTAAACTCCAGTACTCATTCATTCATTCAATGTACACGTTAGATAGATGGGGAAAACACCTCAGCTAACGGTGCCGCAAAAACTCAAGTACTACTGCGGTCAGGTCGCACAAAAAACGCGCCAAATAGGGAATTACGAATGATTCGTAATCGTAATTGTATCTATAAGAACCTGAATAATTCTATGCCCTGTCCTTGTTTTGTACCGCACCACCTAACTGTCCATCATGTGTTTCGTAACTGCCTTTAGCCTTTCCACTCACAGCAACAACAACGGAAAAGCCGACTGAAATCCTCGTGCAAATTTCACGCTTGTTGCTTTCGGTTTACTGCATTACTCCTCGCTCTTCCGGTCACTAACCATTAGTTCTGCGTTTGATGACATTGAATAGTTACTCACTGCTTAATGTTTATAGAGGCTGACAGCCAATTGGCTACAACCGTAGGTTTCGGGTCATCTTTTGTTTGTTAATTTGTGATACAGTTTACCTTATATTGGCTTTCAGGTTTCAAGGACTTCGACACCACTGGCTGTAAACATCCAACGAACATCTTCGTCGTTGTATCTTCGCATTCACCATCGGAACCCAACGGAAGGCGTGTGGGCGCCACAGAGATAATTGAAGTAGGCATGACTTTCATACTCCGGGTGGCATCTGATTGATCGATATTCTGATCCATATGCTCACTGACCCCTTACTAGCGTTACGCTGTTATACTCAGTAATTTGTTTTGCATTTTACACTAAATGTAAGCATCATGTGTGCTGCGGCTGCATCCCTTTGACTGCATTTTCAATAAACCGCGTACTTGACGTCTTGTTTTGTCCTGCCATCGATAGCGTCTTCTCTACCATATGCACCCATCGGCTCTAGGCGAGCGGCCTTGGTCCTTTGGTCTGCGGAACTTGTTGCAAGCGTTTAATGTGAAACTTTGCCTTGTCCCATCCTTGATAACTGGATCGACCAGTTGCTGCGGTATGCATTTTCGACGGTCACTGTGATCCACCATACTATGGAAAAGCGCGTATTTGTACAGTCCTGTTGCTGGCAGCTCAAATCTATGCAAAGGAAGTTGTTTACTATCGCCTTCATTTACTGTATCGTTCACAATAGTTGCCCCCGTTCACTGACTGTTACTTTCCCGGGTCCTAGTGTTTTTAGCCTATCTTTTAAGATATCTGGCTTCACCTTTTTGAAACACGACTGCTCTCATCTAGCGATGTTTGAACTATGACTCGCTCTTAGTAAATCCGAAACATTTGCTCATATCTGGCGTAACCACCGAGTTAATTCAGACCAGGTACTGCGGCTGATTTTCGGGAACAGTCTATGGAGCCAAACGAAATTGTCTACCTCGTTTAAGCTACGTTTTTAGTGTCCACCTACTGCCTTCCTCGTTGCGCATTGTCCGGTTTGCTGCACTTGGTTTATGTTCGCTAGGTGGCGTTGCAGAAAGACGTAACAGAAAAGAAATACTTGGAAGACAATCATGGATAAGTTAGAAGCGACGCTCCAGCAAAACTGCGCGAACGAAATATCGGAAATTTGAGAGAGGAAACTAGCTACATGAACACAAAGACGTAACCGGTTCATCTACTGAGCTGTGTCGAGCAGAATCCTGAACCACCGAAGCGGCTGCTTTTCCCGGAGTTTCCATTCAGGATGGCAACGATTGTCAACCTGACCATACTTCTTTACCCATGTTTCATGCCTTTTTACTATTTCGTCTTTTAGGCCTCACCTATGCAGGCACATTATCGGATAACAGTACATTTCGGGATAGACATTGTTTATGTGCACCAAACGTGATTTAGCTAGAGTGATAATTTCAAGTAACACAAGATGGTCCATTGAAATGCCAAACCATCGGTCTGCCTTTTGTGTATATGCTCACAGTTTTTTATTCACTTCCCTTTTCAGAATTGCTCTAGTTCTACCTTTCTGAAAACAGTATACCTACGTTCAAACAATGCCTCAGGGACCACCTCAATTGATTTCGAGATATTTGACGTCCGGGACGTCAAATCGAATCTTGTGAGTCAAAAATTCGCTTCCGGAGCACTGTATTTATTTTCATCATCGTAAGGTATTCCCAAGTTTTCTAACCCTCAGCTACCTTGCTTGCGATTGTCTACTCACTAGGAATGAAATTCCAACGAAGGATAACTTGATCATCGCTATGTATTTATATCGCTCTGTTTTATTGGCACTGGAATCGCCGCTTATCCCTGGTCATTGCCCTTCAGATATACAGGTACCTTAGCAGTGTTTTTTCTAGCTCGTCGAACGTAAATGGAAATATCTGCATCTCCACCGTCTAAAACATGGATGTTATACTTCAATATGGCGCTGACCCTATCGCCGTTTAATTTACTGATTTCGCCAAATTTTTTGGGAACCCGAACCAAGTTTTTCCCTCAATGTGGGCATATACGTGTTCCTATTTGTACCCTTTTCATTGTTTTTAGACTGTTCTCCACTTTTACCCCTGCGTATTGCCTCTCCACTTTGTCTTTACTTTAGTACGTGAGATTCGGCGTGGCTCACACTATCGTCGAGAAACTTTTGTCTGCTTCTTCACTCGAACTGCGAATATGTGATCCCGTCAGCGGCAAACCCTTTGCTGCCTCCCCCACTGGTTTCTCGCCTGTGCTCACCGTGGAGGCTCGTAACCGACGAGCAGAAGGACTGTGCAGTCCAAAAGTAGATGATCAGCTTTTGTTTCTCAGCTACACACGTTCTCTCTTTGCTAGCTTACCGCGGAATGCAGCGGCCTGGAATTTATAACCGCTAATCTCCTGTCAAAACGTTATGTGTTCCATAACGTCTTGGGTGAACGCATGAACGTGACTGAGTTTATGGGGGAGTCGAAGATTTGTTTCGATTTTCCCATTGAATATCTGTGAGTCCTATTTCATCTACTCTTTGCTCCGTTCGATGGTTATTCTCTGAGACACTAGTATCATACATAATGATCAGGGATATTGTTGATAATTCTCACTTCCTGTGCCCGCTGAGGGTAGTTTCTATGTTGTTATGAGTGTTTTTCATCAGTCCAGCTGAATTCCTATGGAATGTATGTGATATGTGACAGATTTAGGCGATCATCTTGCCAAGAAACACTGGAATCCGATGGTTTTTCAGTTACCTCACTAAACATGTCTTTTCTCGACTAAGCGAGGCACACCTGCACAGGCATGATCATGGCAAGAAAATAAAGAGCGGTCAGTTAATGTACCATGGAACAATAGGATTGTTACATATGTTGTTATGCGAATGTATGTATGTCTGCATGTACATTCATCTATAAACTTATGTATGTATGTGTGCATGTCTGATCGCAATGAGACTGGCTCGCTATAACATCAATATTGCGTCGCTCAGCGAGACCTGGCTCGCTGAGCAAGCTAAGTTGAATGGAATGTGCTTGCTCTATGTTCTACTGGGTGGGAAACGCCACCTCAGCATCACATAAACATGGGGTCGGATTTGCAATATCCCATCGTCTCAATGGCCAGCTGGTGGGTGAGCTGACTGGCATCAGCGCGCGACTGATGACTGACCTCTCGCCTGCGACTCGGGAGTTTCCCACTCTTATAAGACCATGTGTTATCCTGATGACGCGTGATCAATTCATCACTCAGTTATCGTGTGTGATACGGTCTGTGCCGAGAAGCGACCATTTTTGCTGGGTGATTTCAACGCGCGCGTTGGGCGTGATGCATCAGCGTGGACAGACGTTATCGGTTCGCATGGCATTGGTTCAGCGAATGCGAACGGTGACAGGCTGCTCTCACTGTGTGCCACTCACGGCCTGACGATCACGAACACTCGGGTTTCACTGAGTGCGAGTGATATAGCAACTTGGACGCACCCACGGAGTGCGCACGCCTACCTTCTCGACTATGTCATCGTACGTCAGCGTGATATGCGTGAAGTGCGCATGACACTTGTTTTGCGTGGAGCTGAGTGTGGCACATCACAACTCAGTGCGGACCAAACTGTACATATATTTTCGTAAATCTGTGTATTATACTCCCGCCGTGAATCGGCGTAAAGTTAACATTCTCCCTCGGTACTATGGCGAAACGTACAGAGCTGGAGAAGGCGATGGCTGCACGGCTGTGTGATGTGGAGTGCGTGGCCACAGTGGGCGACCTGTGGCACCACATTTGCGACCAGGTGACAACTGCTGCCAAGGAGACCATCGGGCGCGCAAACTGTAAGCGGCCTGGTTGGTTTGATGACAACAATGCGACGATGGGCGCATTGGTGTCGGAGAGGAATGCAGCATTTGCTGCACATGTGGCAGACCCCAGGGACTTGGGAAAGAGTAGTCAGTTTCGCAAACTTCGACGGCGACTGACCCGAGAGCTCCGTCGCATTAAAAATGCATGGTGGACGGAGAAGGCGAAGCAGATGGAATGCTACGTCGAACGTCGCCAACACAAGGAATTCTTTGACTCCTTGAAGGCGGTGTATGGATCGAGGTTGGAGCCGCTGAGGGCACTAATTGATGGTAGTGCGGGCGCTGCCTGCAGACATAATGCAGATCTGGCCAAAACACTTTGCTTGCTTTTGCACAAGCATTCAAAAGTTGACTGGGCTGTATTGCACACGCTATAACAACAAGAGATGATGGCGTGTCTTGGCGACACGCCGACACTGGATGAGACGCAGAGAGCACTTGCTCAGATGGGAAAGGGCCAATGTGCCGGTGCCGACGGGATCCCGCCTGAAGTATTGAAACACAGCGGACCTGCGTTGGTGACTGCGCTGCACCACTTGGTGCAACACGTGTGGATTGAGAAGGAGGTGCCTTCTGAGCTGAAGGATGCCCTTGTGCTACGACTGTACAAGCATAAACGAAGCAAGCGCTGGGTCGCTAATTATCGTGGCATCAACTTGCTGAGTTGTGTGGGCAAGGTGATTGCCCGAATCCTGCTCAACCGCCTCGTCAGTTAACTTGTGGAACCGGACTTGGCGGAAGAGCATTGTGGATTCCGTTCGGGTCGCAGCACCATCGTTATGGTGTTTTCGACTCATCAGTAGCAGAAGTGCAGACAGCTATCTCAGCCGTTGTATTCCCTATTGGTTGATTTCACCAAAGCGTTTGATACGATGAACCGCATTGTGACTGGTTTTGGTTAAGTTCGGTTGCCCGCGTAAGTTTGTAAGTTTAATTGAATGTCTGCACAATGGTGTGCGCGCGAGGATGCAGCTGTGTGGAGAGACCTCGGATGACTTTGCACTTGTCTCTGGTATGAAGCAAGGCTTTGTCTTATCTCCTGTCTTGTTTAATATTTATCTCCATGCAATGATATCTTGTGCGTTTAATCCGGTTTGTGCTTACGGTGTTCGTGTGGAGCACCATATTGATGATGGGTCGTTGAACATCCGTCGTTTCGGTGCGAGAACCGTAGTCTATGAGATAACTCTCCGTGTTGCTGTTGGCTGACGACTGTGCGTTGTTTGCGCACAGCGCGGATGAGTTGCAGCACATGACTAGTGCTTTGGCTTCGACAACGGCCAAATTCGGGCTCACCATCAACACAAGCAAAACTGTTTGTCTTTTCCAGCCTTCACCCGAAGTGGAACCTGTGGGCCTGCCACAAATCCAGTTTGCCGACGATATGTTGGAAACCACCCCGAGATTTTGCTACCTTATGAACGTAATCACAATCGATCTGCAGATGACGAGCGAGTCGCGTATCGAAGGTGGCTGCTGCATTTGGCAGGCTGGAATGTGATGTGTGGAACAGTCACCAGCTCGCCGTCGGGACAAAGCTACTGGTAAACAAGTCTATGGTGCTGTCCGTTCTTGTATACAGTAGCGAAACCTGGACGCTTTATCGGTAGGATGTCCGTTATCTGGAGCGCTTTCATCAACAGTGTCTGCGCCGTTTTATACGCATCGGCTAGGGTGACCGAGTTGCAGACACGGAAGTGCTCCCCCGTGGTGGCGTGTATGCAGTGGACTGCATATTTCTACTGAGCCACCTGAGGTGGCTCGGGCATAGTCGATGCATGGATTCAAACCGTATACCGAAACAGCTGTTTTATGGCCAACTGCGTGCAGAGAAGCGGCATATGGGAAAACCGAAGTTGCGTTACCAGAGTATGATTAAAATGAGCCTATCACGTCCTGATGTTGCTTTTAGGTGTTGGGAATCGAAGGAGCTTGCTTGTCGTGCATGGCGCCATCTGGTCATGAAGGCAGTGCACGAAATAGCCCTCGTGCATGCGGAGAAGAGGTGACAGATGCGAAAGCGACAGGCACCCATTGGGTGTATTCCATCGACGTCGAGCGCATGGTACTGTAGCACATGTGGTCGCGAGTGTCTGAGTCAGGCAGGTTTAGTGAGCCACGAGCGAGGCCACTGGGATCCAGCATCGAAACGACTACAGATCCTGCTGAGAACGTAAGCAGAACCGGCACATCGTTAGTGGGTACGTTGCATTCGATTCACTAACCGCGTGCTTGCATGCTAAATCTCTTTCTTTCAGGTGGTTAGTTTGTTATCCTGTCTTAATGCTTATTTTGTTACGTAATTTGAATGTCCACTTAAATGATCTATTAAATTGCACATGTCGATTAAACGAAAGGTGGTTAACTTAGTTTATTTTTCTCCTTGCATATGTTTCTTGATCACTTTCTGCCATCTTAAATTTATCGTGGATATGTTGATAGTCCATTTATTTTAGCGGCTTATTTGTATGGAGTTTTCAACCCAATTTATTTGATATTTCCTTTCATGTGGTTGACTGTTGCTTGATATCCCCGGTGTGGCTGCGCTTGATATGCATGTTGACAGGGTGTCTACCTTTCTATTACCCACTACCTCGTGTATACTGGCCCCAGGAGACAATTGGTCGTTGCTAGAGGGGACAGGGTGCACGGTCCTCGTGGCCGCGCCATGTTTGTATAGTGGTTCCATCCAGTGTGAAACATACTACATCCCAGCCACCTGTGTGCGCTTGATTCCGAAATACAGCGTGCTTGTGTTTGCCTGTGAAGGAATGTAGGCCAGCTCCGTTGAAACCTGGTTCCCATCCACATGCCTCCCGGTCTTATTCCTTCGGGTTTACACTGGAAATGGGGTGTGTGGATGGAGCTGTGAGTGGTGCAGCGCAGGCCACCCATGGTCCCTCTGTAGGCGCAGGCGTCCTGTGGCTGTTCCCGTGGAGGCCACCGTGACAGGCAAATCCGGAACCGGATGCCTCCAGCCATGTGTGCATGTAGACCTGTGTAATTTTGTTTATGTGACTTTTAAACACTTTCCTGCGCTTTTGCTCTTGTTTGAACATGTCGCCAGGGCTAATGACATGCTTGGTGTCCGTGGACTTGAAGCGGTTGTACGGATGAGCAAGCAGCAGTGACTTTAGTTCGTGGCGAGTCACAACAGCTGCGTTACGGTGTTGTTAAACAAATATTTATGGCTTTTTCTAGGGAGAACGTTTGTTAGGCGGAATCCCATCACTCCCTGGAACACTACCGCCCAACTATTTGCTGGAACAGCTGGCACCACGGGGAAGTTGCTCGGCTGGCCATCCACCGTACTCACTCACTTTTTTCGACAATGCACAGAAGATTGGAAGTCTCCACGCCGTTTGCTCATTCATACTCGGAAGATTGACCCATCTATTCCATTCATACAACTGTCGACCTTAAAGCATTCGATGATTTCTCCAACCAGGCTTTATGCATTTGGTAACAGAACATTTCCAACTATCCCGCCTTTTCTTCCAGCCGCTCGGTGTCCATGTTCGTTCTTTGCTTATCGTCGTTTACTCCGGTGATGTCTATTTCTCTGTCTCCATTCACCATCTCACGGTCTCTTCTTCATGTGGCGCGACGCACCCCCCTTGTGTGCACTCGTTGAGTCAATGAGCAGAGTTAAATCGTGCCTGCCGTCACCGAGAGGGTGGGCGAGGCAGTGTAACTGTCGTACCAGACAAGCGACTTTCCTCAAGGTTTAGCTGTAACGTGAGAACATTTACTTATTTGATATTTTTGTGTTTTCGCTTTGGCGACATACTTGACTGCGGATCCTAGACGGGTGTATGTGCACTTCTTACGCGGCGTCAGTTAAAACCAATTGATTTCTTAAAAATTCACAAGCACCATATATATCCAAACAGTTACTAGACTTTCGAAATGGTTCGATCCCTTACTCTTTGCCGACTCATTTGCATTGCGCTCTTTTCGCGAACCACGTGAACTTCGTATTATTAACTCGGTTCTCCCACCAGCCATACACAATGCTTCGCAAGTGGTGGCGGTGACTAAAAACAGTCTTCTTACTGTCTGCTTGCAGAGGCTAGGTCTCTGATCCACACTAACACTGACCGTACCTGAGCACTTAACCAATACACTCACGTCGGCGACCAATTTAACTTTTTTATTATGTTTTCTTTCTCTCGTAATTTTGGATGTGTCGACCCATGGTCGAAAAGCTTACTCACCTGCCTTGTAATCCGCAAGTCGCGGGTTCCAGCTTGAGTACGGGACCGGGCGATCCTCGCATTATCCCTAGCCCATCCGCGACTGGTGGTGGTTTCGTGGCAGCGAGGCATCCGGACTCTGTACCAGCGTACTGCTCATGTGTTTGCTGACTAGATGCGGCGCGTGTACCAATTCCAAGTACATCGACGCATTTGTTGTTTGAGTCAACTTTCTTGATTACCATGGGCTGCATATTTCAGCTTTCTTTTCGTCCTGTACAACACACTAAAACGAGTTTACCAATTGTATATGGTAGTTCTGGTCCATATTCAGGTCAGCTCAGGTGGTCAAATACCGTCCGAACGTTGAGGAACGTCTGCGTCCAGGTGCTATCGTTCGCATCTCCACACCCATATAAACAGCAAGTAAGGAAAACGACGAGATCTGGCGAAAATTCCGCAGTAATGATGTCGCGGCAAATTTTTTTTCTGCCGCAAAGACTTCCAGCATAAATCGAGAGACCATACATCTACGTCCCACTTATTTCGCTGCGGACCGAATTCATCTTACGAATAATGTCATTGACTGCTCCCCAAGTCTCACGCCAGGAATATGAAATGTATCTTCCAGACTAGTTATTTCGGCTAATTGGCTCATTCCTTTCTGAACAATTCTCTGCTGTTTGCCTCCGAACGTCGTCCAAAGAAGTGCCGTTACTTTAAACGTTGTTGGTCTGTTAGAACCACGGAACATATGACCCAGTCAATGTTACTGCAAGCTTTATGGTCCGTCCAGAGTAACAACAACGTGTACTCCGCGTTGTAACCCATACTCTGTTTTCCTCTCACCGTTTTTCGTCCTTTTTGACGTTTTATTTTACTCATCGTTTTCTAATTCTGCCTCAATATAGCGGCGATTTCATGATGAGCACTGCGATGGTTTCTTCAATTGGCTGGTTGTCAACTGGTGACATGTTACAATTGTTCTCTTGTGAACTCTTTAGTTTACCCCCGACGCACTCACATCACATTCTTTTTCTTTCCAGAAAATTTATCATCCCGCGGGAACATTTACTTTACGAGTCCTTGTCAAGGACCGGCTCAGTGAGTTGTGCTGGAGAGCTTTTGTCTGCACATGCGTTTCTTTTTGTTCGGTTTGTTCATCCGATGAAGGCCGTATTGCTTTCGTTGTCACTGATTAGCTCCACTTTCATTGTCGCAAAGCACTCGCATTACTGTTACGCTTATTTGCAGTCCGATCCGAGGCTAGAGGGCCTTCGCAAGGAGCGTTTGATTTCCATGAAGCAGACTTTGGAACAGTATGAGGCGTCTCTACGGCATCTGGTCGATTGTTCCGGTGAGTTAACATTCGTCTCACCTTGATCCATTTTGTATTAAGTGGTTGGTATCTTTTCTGAATTATCATTATATCGGTCAGTAGTTCCTGAGCTGCCATTTTCAGTGAAATTCTGACATCCGGTCAGTTACTACACAGTCCATCGATTCATTGACTCAGTGACACTCACAAGCTCCCCTTTGGTTACTCCACGTCTCTTTTACCGCACTTACCGTCAGCCTGTTAATCCGTTGTGCAACATCCTCTCTGCACTCAGAATGTAATTAACTCTTTATACCTGAGGTGGAAACGGATTTCCATATCGTAGGTTCTCGTGGGTCAAGATCCCAGGTTTTGTTTCTAGTGTTTCCGCTCGCTAGCCACTGATCGATTTCCTGCAAGCGATTCGATTCAGCTAGCCTACCTCTGTTATTTCCGTATAGGAAGCCCGTCATTGCATCCCGTTTTGCTCAGCTTGCTGCTCCAAATGTCCAAAATGTCATAGCTCTCTCGCAATATATATATATATATATATATATATATATATATATATATATATATATATATATATATATATATATGATTGGCTGCATCCGCGGTGGCCAGCCACCGAACGCATGCGCCTACAGAGGGACCATGGATGGCTTGCGCTGCACCACCCACAGCTCCAACCACACACCCCATATCCAGTGTAAACGCGAAGGAATAAGACCGGGAGGCATGTGGAGGGAGCAACGTTTCGTCAACGGTGCCGGCTCACACTCCTTCACAGGCAAACACAAGCACGCTGTATTTGATAATCAAGCGCACCCCAGGAGGCGGCTAGACCGTAGTCAGCTCCACACTGAGTGCATGGAATCACTCTTCGAGCCTGACAAACATTTGAGAGAGAGAGAAAGGGAAAGAAAATAACTCGATTGATGCATAAGGAAACGGTGACATAAACCTTAAGTTAATGAGCATATGAAATAAGTTGTTTACAAACGAATCCTAGATAAGTTCACGAGGTCAGAAAGTATACTTTACGGAAATGCCACGAACACAAAATTGTTATGGAAATCGAATACAATTGGCTTAAGCGAGGTGTGCAAGTTAATGGAATAGAGTACAGGTAGACATTTATGTGAGAAAGAATAGCATTAAGGCAAAATTGAAAACCTACCACCTGAAATAAAGAGACTTAGCATGCAAGCACGCGGTTAGTAAATCGAATGCAGCGTACCTACAAACGCTGCGCCGGTTCTGCCTATGTTCTCTGCAGAACCCGTCGTCGCTTCGGTAGTAGTCCCGAGTGGCCTGGCTCATGGCTCACTAAGCCTGCCTGACTCAGGCACTCGCGACCGCATGTGCTACAGCACCATGCGCTTGATGTCGATGGAGTACAATTCATCGGTGCTTGCCACTTCCGCACTTGCCGCTTCTTCTCTGCATGCATGAGGGCTTTCTCCCGCACTTCAGCAACTGCCTTCGTGATTAGATCGCGCCATGCACGCCGATCAACCGCCTTCGATTCCCATGATCTGCAATCAAGGTTAGAACGTGTGAGGCTCACTTGAATCATGTCCTGGTAACGTAACTTTGGTTTCCCCACGTGCCGCTTCCCAATACTCAGCTGAACGTATAAGAGTTGTTTCGGAATCCGCGTCGAATCCATACGGCTCACATGACCGAGCCACCTCAGGTGTCTCAATAAAAGTATGCAGTCCACTGCATACATTCCACTTTGTCGCAAAACTTCCGTGTCTGCAACTCTGTCGCCCCAGCCGATCCGCAAAATTCGTCGCAGACACTGCTGATGGAACCGCTCGAGATATCGCACATCCCGACGGTACATCGTCCACGTTTCACTGCCGTATAGAAGAACGGACAGTACCATGGATTTGTACACCATCAGCTTCGTGTCAATGCTAAGCTGATGGTTGTTCCACACTCGGTACTCAAGCTTCCCGAATGTCGCCGCTGCCTTCGACACGCGAATACGCAGCTCACTGTGTAGCTGCTGATCAGTCGACATCACACTCCTAAGGTAGCTGAAGCGGGAGGTGGTTTCCAATACTTCAGCACCAATGCTGATTCGCGGCAATATTGAAGATTGCACCTCCAGTGAAGGCTGAAAGAGACAGACAGTTTTGCTTGTGTTGATGGTGAGCCCGAATTTGGTCGCTGTCGAAGCCAAAGCACTAATCATATGCTGCAACTCATCCGCGCTGTGTGAAAACAACGCACAATCGTCAGCAAACAGCAACATACGGATAGTTGTCTCACAGACTAGAGTTCTCGCACCGAAACGACGGATGTTCAGCAACCCACCATCAATAGGGTACTCCACACGAACACCGTAAGCACAAGCGGCATCAAAAGCACAAGACAACATTGCATGAAGATATATATTAAACAGGGTAGCAGCTAAGACACAGCGTTGCTTCACACCAGAGACAACTGCAAAGTCATCCGAGGTCTCTCCACTCAGCTGCACCCTCGCTCGCATACCACTGTGCAGACATTCAATTAAACTTAGAAACTTACGCGGGCAACCAAACTTACCTAACACCAGCCACAATGTCTCGCGGTTCACCGTATCAAATGCCTTGGTGAAATCAACAAAAAGCGAGTACAATGGTTGGTGTCGTTCTCTGCACTTCTCTTGCAACTGACGAGCCGCAAACACCATATCTATAGTGCTGCGAGCCGAACGGAATCCACACTGCTCTTCCGCCACGTTAGGTTCCACAACCTGACTGACGAGGGGGTTGAGCAGGATTCGGGCACTCATCTTGCCCACACAACTCAGCAAGTTGATGCCATGATAATTCGTGCAACATTGCTTGCTACCTTTGCCCTGTTACAGTGGTAGCACAAGGGCATCCTTCAGCTCAGGAGACACCTTCTCAATCCATACACGTTGCACCAAGTGGTGCAGCGCAGTCAACAACGCGGGTCCACCGTGTTTCAATACTTCAGGCGGGATCCCGTCGACTCCGGCACACTTGCCGTTTCGCAGCTGAGCAAGTGCTCTCTGCGTCTCATCCAGTGTCGACGTGTCCGCCAGATCCGCCTTCACATCGTGCTGCTTCAGGCAGTTCGAAGTAGGCCAGTCGATCTCTGAACGGTTGTTCAAGAGACAGTCAGTGTTTTCGTCAGATCTGCATTATGTCTGCAGTCTGTGTGCAGGTAGCGCCTGAACTACCATTGATCAGCGTCCTCAGCGGCTCCAATCTCGGTCCATACACCGCCTTCAAGGAGTCAAAGAATTCCTTGTGTTGGCGACGTTCGGCGTAGCATTCCATCTGCTTCGCCTTCTCCGTTCACCATGCATTTCTAATGCGACGGAGCTCTCGAGTCAGCCGCCGTCGAATTCTGTCAAACTATCTCTTCTTCTCCAAGTCACTGAGGTTTGCCACATGTGTAGCAAATGCTGCATTCCTCGCTGACACGAATGCGCCGATCGTCGCATTGTTGTCATCAAACCAATCAGGTCGCTTGCAGTTTGTGCGCCCGATGGTCTCCTCGGCAGCAGCTGTCACCTGATCGCGAATGTGTTGCCACAGGTCACCCACTGTGGCTATGCGGTCCACATCACACAGGCGTGCAGCCATCGCCTTTTCCAGCTCAGTACGTTTCGCCACAGTACCGAGGGAGAGAATGTTGAATGGCGAGGGTGCAGTACATAGATTTACGAAAATATATGTACAGTTTGGTCCGCACCAACTTGTGATCAGTGCCATACTCAACTCCACGCAGTACACGTGTCATGCGCACTTCACGCATATCACGCTGACGTACGATGACATAGTCGAGCAGGTGAGCGTGACCACTCCGTGGGTGCGTCCAAGTTGCTATATCACTCGCACTCAGTGCAAACCGAGTGTTCGTGATCGTCAGGCCGTGAGTGGCGTACAGTGAGAGCAGCCTGTCACCGTTCGCATTCGCTGAACCAATGCCATGCGCACCGATAACGTCTGTCCACGCTGATGCATCACGCCCAACGCGCGCGTTGAAATCACCCAGCAGAAATAGTCGGTGGCTGCTCGTCACACACCGTATCACGGAGGATAGCTCAGTGTGGAACTGATCACGCGTGTCATCAGGAAAACACATGGTCGGACCGTACGTGCTTATAAAAGTAGCAAACTTACCTCTTCCGAGTCGTAGGCGAACAGTCATCAGTCGCGCGCTGATGCCCGTTGGTTCACCCACCAGCTGGCCATGGAGGCGATCGGATATTGCAAACCCGACCCCATGTTCACGTGGTGCTGAGGCGGCGTTGCCCACCCAGTAGAATGTGTAGCCAGCACCTGTTTCATGCAACTTACCTTGTTCAGCGAGCCGGGTTTCACTGAGCGCCGCAATATCGATGTTGTAGCGCGCCAGCTCCATCACGACCAGTGCAGTGCGTCGCTCCGAGCGCTCGCTGGAATTCCGGTCCAGTAGTGTGCGCACGTTCCAGCACCCGATGCCGAGTGCTTTGCGCGCAGGCATACGATTGCATTGGTGGGCAATCGCACGCGAGGTGGTCGTTGTGCTTCGGAGGTTTGCTTGAGGGACTCCACCCGGAGCCTTTGGCACGATAGCCTGACCCACAAGGCAGTGGGTGATTTGGAGGTTTGCTTGAGGGACTCCACCCGGAGCCTTTGGCTCAATAGCCTGACCCACAAGGCAGTGGGTGGTTTGGAGGTTTGCTTGAGGGACTCCGCCCGGAGCCTTCGGCTCAATAGCCTGACCCACAATGCAGTGGGGAGCAGATCCAGCTAGGGAATGTGATTGCAGAGACAGATGGGGATCTGCTTGACGGCCGTCACACGCAGCCTTTGAGGTACTGGAACAATTATTATGTGTTTTGCGACCGTAATTGGATACGCACCTGCGACCACGGCCAGACGCAGGTGGGTTTTTGGCGGGTTTGCACCAATTTGACCAGGGGCTGTCTGGCTTGAAGCGGGCAGTAGAGAACCATTGAACAACCGGAGGTGTCCTCCCACTGTCATAGAGAATGCGTGGCACTCGTGCTCTACGCCAATCGA